GCAAGACAGCCCATCAGTGTAAACACAGCCCAGTACTCCCATGAGCCTCCCCAAGTTTCCAACATTATCAGATAGTAAAAATAATTAATATGATAACATTCACTGTATGAAGAAATATTTAAGAACCACAGCATTTAATACAGTATGCCTTCTGATTCACTTTTGGTAGCAAAACAAGAAAGCGATAGGTGCATCACATTTACTGCATCAAAAAACAACGTGCAAAAGGCATCCCTGAAAATGAAATCGACTTATCCACAAATGCCTTGAAGAAAGTCACCTAGAAGGTACTATACAGCTGAATATGAAAATAAGACCCTTTTGCCTCTTGATGCAGAAGAAAAGCTACATAATATTTCAGATTTATTTCTTGGATACAGTTGCAAATTCCTGCCACGGGAGACTTTTTGAAGAGCTCATCCTTCAGCTCACCATCAAAAGACTTTGCTAGAAGTGCCACAGCTGGAGCTGCAAGATACTGAGTGCGCTCTGTGATGCTCAGGTGGTTAAGTAAGATCTGAGCCTGCCTGAAAATGTGGCAACAACAGCAGCACACGTGGAACACTTTCAGCCTGAGACGTGCACATCTTGCTGCAGTTCTGCACTGTGTTCCCTGACAGCAGAACATAAGCACATTAGAGCATAGCTTGGGTATCCAAGGAGCTAACCATACAGGGAAAGGAATCCGTCCTTACACACACACACAGCTCACACCTCTGTTACCAGGAAGCCCATCACCTCTGCTTAAAAACTAAGCGGTGAACACAGATCTACCAACCTCACGGAAACTCTTTTGTAACAAATACCGTGTGGTGCTGACACCGGCTGCAAAACTGAAGCCCCACAGTAACCCTGCAAGCAAATGGAACAGTTCTGCACTCCCCGTCCTCATTCTCTGCTCAAGGCACACTGGTGGCTTGCTCAGACCCCATGTCTTTTCTCTCAGCACACAACACTTAACTATGTTACATCCAAGCAAGCTCAAAGGCATTTTCTCCCAACACACCCCCTGACATACCCAGCATTACACACTAATTACTGGAAGATTTACTCAGATTAGTGCTGGTTTAGCTTAAAACCAAGGAAGGAAAAGAAACCCACACTTTCCCTAAGATCTGTGACTCCTGATGCACGCACCTATGAAAAATACACTGTTAGAACTGTAGGATTTGGCCCTCCTTGTGTAATTATATAACCTCAGAACATAACAGACCCCATCACCGACACTGAGTTCTGCCCTCCCGCTCACCTCACACACCCGCCCAGCACTGCTCTCCGCCCCGACGCCGCCCGCTGCCCGCCGAGGAGCCCCACGGCAGCTCAGCCCGAGAGGCTCGGCACGGCACGCTGCTGAAGCCGGGCCGCCCCGGGCGGGGGAGCCGCAGGGAAGGAGCGGCGCCGCAGCCCCTCAGCACCCCCGGTTCGAGTCCCGAGAGGGGCGGCCGCGCCCGGCCCCCCAGCGAGCGCCCCGCCGGCCCCGGGCTCCACTCACTCGGCAGAGCTGGTCCCGTTGACGGCGGAGCCATCCGGAGCGGGGTTGAGCTGGATCGGCCCCGGCTTCTTCTTGGGCATGTTCCCCCCCGGCCGGCGCAGATCGTGACAGACGGAACGGCCGCGGCCCCACTTCGGCCAGGTCCGAGGGACTTCCCGAGGCGAAGCAAACTTCGGAGCCGCCCCTCAGCGCCGGAGCAGCACGGGGCCACCTCCCGACAAGGAGCCGAGGCCACGACGCCGCCGCTCCGGCGCAGCGCGGCCGTCGACCCGTCAGCGCCGATCTGCCCGGCGGAACGGCACCGAGCCCCGTACCGACAGCTCCCGACGGAGAAAAACTGCCCGGGCTCAAAATGCGCCCTTCCCCGGCACTGCGGCTGCGCACACCGCCCGGACGGAACGGCGCGCAGGCGCGGCCAGCGGGCGCGTGTGCACTGAGGGCGGTGAAGCTGAGCCGATGCTGTGCCCGCACCGCGCTGCCCTGCGCTGTGAAGCTCCGCACCACCCGCTCTGGGTGCTGAGGTTTTACACGGCGCGGCACGGCGGGGACGTGCCCTGCTTCACACGTCCCGAAACTTGGTGGAAGTTCGGGCTGTCGGTGAGAATTCTGCCAGCGGTGTCGTGTCCTCCGCGGAGAAAAACGCGGTGTTAAACGACACGTTACCAAGCACGTCCCTTATTTCTCTCACAGTCGTTAATGTACCCGTGTTGCTGTACTTAGAATTACAGCCTCCACTTCAGTCTTGTGGAATGGCTGCTTGTTTTTCTCCGAAGTAAATCTTTGAAGCAAAAAACGGGAAAAGGGAGATTATAGTTAAAAAATAAATAAGTAGCCAAATGAGTCTACGAATCACAGAATCACAGAGCGGCACAGGTTGGAAGGGGCCTTGAGGATCATGAATCTTCAACCCCACTGCCACGGGCAGGGCCACCAACCTCCCCATCCATTACTAGACCATATGAAATACCAAATATTTTATTTCTTACTTCTGTGGTCTGCATGCTTACAGCTGCTGCTGTTAGGGACGATCGGATTTGGCCACAGGAGTGTTCCATGCCTCGATGTGATGCTGACTTCAGGTGTCTCTGTGCAGCTGTGCTGTGCGTGGCTTCCCATGAGGCCTTTATGGAGCTCTGTGATGGGGCTGAGCTTAAAGAGAGAAACATCCACAGAAACAAGAGGTTCAAGTACCACAATCAATGGTACTAAGTAAGTAATAAGGGCCCTTCTGCTGTAGGATAGAAGCAGAATGCTGCCTTGCTTCAACAGAATGAGCTCACCTTACCAGCGAGGTTCTTTGTCTGTTATAGAAAAATGATACTTTTTTCCTTTTTTTTTTTTGCCCACTTTTTAAGTAGAAAAGATATAATCCTTGTTTCTGCAGTGCTGCAGCCCATGGACGTGGATCCCCCACCATATCCAAGAAGGGACAGCTCTCTCCTCACACTGCTAATGTGGTCCCGTGCTGCCTTTGACAAAACACTGAACTTGTGTTTTAAAGATCTACAGCCCAGAAACAAAGTGATGCTACACTGACTGAATACAGACACAAACTGATGGGTGTAGATGTGAGCTGATGGCACTGCAGGGCCCGTTCCCATGTATCTGCTCTGCCATTGCTGCATTCCTCAGCACTGTTACACCTCTGATCCACACAGAGACCAACAACAGGTGGTGCTCAGGCTTAGCTCAAAGCATTGCCTTCTTTGGGTTTTGCTGTTGCTCGTTTTTAATGGTGTCCATCGTGCTGATATAGATAGGCATGTGATTGTTTCCCGGATAACTGATTACACGATAGCTTTGTATGGATGAAATATTTGTAAGCCTGTTTGAATTTCTGTAGGACCAAAAGATTCAACTGGTGTAATTGCAATGGAAAAATAAGCCTGTTTTCCAGCATGGAACAAAATGGGTTTGGGGAGTTCAGATGTTCTTGGTGAAAGGAACAGGCGTTTCTGAAGGTGGATCACACAGGAAAAGGCAACAAATGTAAGGTGGTGTAATCTCTGTGCACGACTTCTGAACAGCGAGACTTCCTGATTTATTAATCGATCACCACTGGGAAAAACAGAACTGAAATGCGTCCCTGTAAACATAAACAGGTCAAAAAAAGCTTCTCATTACCGCTTTTCTTTCACAACTGGCCTACAAGCCCCTGCCTTGTGTCCTGCTTCTTGCATAAAAAGGAAAGGATAATATTTGAGGTGATCAAATACTTTACAACTTATATGAGGTTAACAAGGTATAAATCACCAACGCCTTAATTCAGATAACATAGCAAAATCTGATTTCCCACCACACACCAGCACCAACATACCCATTTTGCCAATGATTTATTGGATGGGGAACACTTCTACTGTACAAACAGGAAAACTCTTCAGATGTAGAAATATCCAATCTCTCATTTTGCAGATTTTCTCTCCCATACATCAAGTGTAGCATAAAACAGACAAAGAGACAAAAATATAAAATAAGGAGCAAGTTTCCTGCAGTTTTTCCACTGCAGTGCACACGGAAATGAACATCTAACATAATGAACATCAGCACCTAAACCAGAAAACAGAAGTGTTTTCTAGAACCGAAGCAAGTTATTCTATTTTCTCTGACTTATTATTCCATCAGCGTGTGGCCACTTATTCACTTCCTGGGGAAAAAGAAACAGCCAGCACTGCCTGCTGGAACCGTTCCTCACCCGACTGGAAGCACAGGAGTGGAAAGCACCACCTTGGCCACCCAGCACTGCTGCTAATTAAACTTATTGATTAACCCATTCAGTAAATATGGGGGATTATGTAACGCTGTTCTCCTCCATGGACACTTTAAATCATCCTCTGCTTTAATCCATGTGTCATGTTTTATGCTTTGCAGATATACATACACACACGTCGTGCGCATTTTATTCATGTCAGGCTCGGATGTATCACAGACACCTCGTTGTTAAATATGTTTTAATATAAAGTGATCGTTGCGTTCAGCACAACACCCTCCAAGCAGCCTCGGGTTTCCCTTAATTGTGTGACACACATTTTTATGGAGTTGGAAGTTAGTAGCACCTGATGTACAGCAGTGTTTACATGTTTATTTCTGTGTGCTCCAACCATCTGAGGAAACTTCTCAGATCAGCCCAACGGATTCATGAATACAAGAGATGCTTGTGTATTTGGGAATGCACGCTTTCAACCCAGTTAAAATCACTCTGACTGAAGGGAAATGCATTTATTAAGTACTTGAAATTGATTTGGTCCTATTAGAGGGAATAATTCAATCACCCGAGTCGTTACCTGCGATGAACTCAAGGTAGAAGAGAAAACCAAAGTTCCGTCCCCAGGAGCGGAGTCACCACACAACGCAGCCCCGCCCTGCCATTACCTCAGCCGCGCAGCCCCTCCCTGTGGATTTGGCGCCAAAAGCAGCCCAGCGCAGCTGCCGCGCATGCGCCCTGATCTCACCCAGCCGGCAGCCCGTCTCAGCTCGGCTGTGCGAGATCTCGCGAGAGCTGCGCGCTCCGCCGTGGCCGCCCGGTGGGGCCGGAGGCGGGAGCGGCGGTGCGGCCCCGTGTGGTGCTAAGTGATTTCATCGGGCTGTGCGCGGAGCTCTTCGCCTTCCGATTTGGGCGAGAAGTCCTTTAATCCGGTAGGAGGGGGAGAGTCGTCGGGGTCGGAGGTGTGAGGGGACTGGGGCCTCAGTGGTGGCCGCAAGGTGCGGCTGCGGGGGTCGTGCCGCGCGGTCTGGCCGTGACGGGCTCCCGTGGGATGTCGGTGCGGAAGGAGCCGCCCGGGTGTCCTGTGTGTGAAGCCGTCTGAGGAGAGCTTGTCCTTAAAACTGCTTTGTGCTCAGGCTGCGAGGAGCCCGGGGCGTCCTGAGCCTGAGAGGAGACCTCCGGCCTGCAGGTTGAAGGGACGAGCTGTAAGTCGGGGACCCGCACCTCGGCAGACTTCGGTCGCTGAAGTGCGAGTGGAAAGCAGCTGTGTTAAAAGCTGAAATGCTTTTGGTGTGTGTGTTCTGGCAATGACCCACAGCCGCCACTCCCAGGTAGCGAAGTGTGAGAAGCCTGTACCTTACTTGGCTCAGCAATGCTGGATTATGTCATTCTCTTGCATAGTATCTGCTACTTAATTTATATAACCTGCCTTCTGGTTGCCAGACCTTCCTTTGGAAGAGCTAGGTCTCATATAGCTAATGTTTGTCTGTTTCTGTGTCAGTTTTGTTGTTATCTCCTTTTCAAACACTTCTGATATTTCATAGACTTGTTAAGGCTGGAAGAGGCTTCTAAGACCCAAAAATCCAATCTCAACCCACCCCCATTGCGGCCCTGACCACATCTCCACTGTTGTGGAATTCTGGAATGCCTCCAGGCACAGTGACCCCTCTGCTCCCTGAGCAGTCAGTGCCACTGCCTCACCACTCTTTTGTGAAAGAAACATTCCCCATTATCCAATCTGACCCTTCCCTGATGCAGCTTAAGGTCATCACCTCCCATCCTATTGCTGTTACTGGGGAGCAGAATCCAACTCCCACTTTACCACAATCTCCTGGTAGGAGGTGAAGAGAGTGATGAGATCTCCCCCGAGCCTCCTTTCCTCCCAGACTGACCTATCCCAGTTCTCTCAGCCCCTCTTTGTTTCCTACAGGAGAAGGAAGTAAAGTTAATCCATGGCCATGATAGATCCTCTGGAGAACAACTTGTTTGATCTCCCTGATTATGAGAATACAGAAGATGAAACATTTCCACCTCTCCCACCTCCTGCGTCTCCAGGAAACGATGTTGAATGGGCTCAAGCTAATGGAGGTGAGAACCCTGTGAACCCTGGAGATTTTTCAGTAGAGAATGAAGTGCTGTGAGATCAGTTTTGTTGGAGTTCTACTTCACTGCATTGTGAACCCAAGTTACTTTATATTAATTGTATTTGTAAAGTTCTTGCTGCAGTCCTGTGTGGAACAGGTGAGCAGAAGGTACGTAATTGCTTGATGTAAGAAAAGGAGAGATCTAACTTCTGGATGTCTGATGTTTAGAGTTGCAAAGTCTTAAACAAGAAACCAGTGTGATAGTAAGTAATTGCTGGTTCTGAGGTGGAGGGATGATGGTGCCTTATCTGCTGCAGTCAGAAGCACGCGTATTAGCCTGAGTCAAAAGGTGAATGGAAGCTGATTCCTAGAAGGCTCACTGATTGTGTTCATACGTAACCTCTTTCTCTGTTATTGGAGGGGATGCTGGAATTCTGGTTCTCCCAGATTTCAGTGGGAACTTTGGGAAACATAGCAAAAAAACTGTTGTTTTTTTCAACTCTTAAAACTGGCAGTGTCTACGCGATATATTTTCATCAGGAATGCAACATAAAAGTTCTAAGACTACATTCCTTACAGTAGAAATTTTCCCTCTGTTAGAGAAGTTCATTCTTTAGTATACTTCAGAGACTTGATCGAGTCCCTGTCAGTCACTTGGGAGAAGTTAGATGAAATATGCAGGCATTTGTTTGGAGTAGTATTGCAGCAGAGTGCTTGTGACAGTTATCCTTTTGGTAGGGTAGGATCCTAGGTTGTGTGGTGGAATTCTAGCTGGTGCCATTTGTGCTGCGTGCTTACAGTATGTCATGTTCTTTGTTAGATCCAGATGGGAACCAGCAGTCGGAAACAAAGGATTCTTCTGCAGCTGTGCGGAAAGCAGTTAAAAGATCAATACCCAAACTGGATGCTCACAGGTACTTTTGAACTGAACGTTTGATAGAGCTAGTGCATGGCTGTGATCTCTGCTTGCTCATAGCTAGTGCCTGTTGCATGCTCTACCTCAACCTCTTTTTTTTTTTTTTTAACTCACCTGCCCATATAATACTGTTTTTAGTCCTGACTTTGTCGAGTTTTGCTTGGTACCTGGTACCTGGCTCACAACTTGGTTAACAGATTTTATTCCTGCATAGGACTCAACCAGCTGTATCCTCTTTATTTTGTTTTGTGCCTCGTATTGTGGATTTCTTTAATTTATTTCAAGTGCACTTCAAAACAAATCCTCAGTACACTGATGTCTGCAGGGTGTGCTGTGTAATTAATGCTGACACCTGACTTGCATCTGAAGTAGATAAACTGTTTGTAAAGGACTTAAGTATTTTCCTTTCTCTTATCACCAAAACTGGCTTAAGTTCCTCATGAGATTAGAAAATATCTAAGCTTCAGGTATGTTATGTTTTAAAAATACTGTTGTAGTCTTGGGTTGTTATCTATCAAGTTTTACATGGCCAATATAGGTACTGAGAGCGATTGTTCCATTTTCTTTCCATTTCATCAAAATCCAAAAGCTGCCTGGGCTCTGGATGTATCTATTGTGTGTTTTCAGAAACTCTCGAGTCTTACAGCAGCCTTACTTTCTGTGATAAGAGGGAATGTGTGTGTTTATTCCTTTGTTTTCATTAGGAGAAATCTGGATTTCAGGTAATTCTGCCATTGCATGTTGACAGGTTGGTTTCAGAAAGAGGGCTTCCTGCCTTAAGACACGTGTTTGACAACGTGAAGTTCAAGGGTAAAGGGCACGAGGTAGGACATGGTGAATTCTGGGGTGTTTACTGGAAGATTAGCTTAAATGCACAGATTGCTGCCTGTGGTGTGGGGAGGATTGATATCAAACTCTGACTAGACAGCAGCCTTCTTACAGTATTTGGGCATATGCTGCTGTGGTTTGTAGTTGCAAGCTTAAAAAATATGCATGTGCTTTTCCTGAGCTCTTACTGCTCATTTTCTCATAGCTTTAAATTGCACTTACATACTTGACTGTAGGATGGAAGATTACCCAAGCATTCATATTACTGAGATTTTCAAGCTGTGGGTGCTTAGTGTTTCCAGAAACATTACTATAATGTTTCCCTCTGGAGTCGGCTGATTTCATCAGCTTCTAACAGCTGGATATCTTGTTTCATGTTCAAGGCAGAGGATCTGAAGACACTTCTACGACATATGGAACACTGGGCTCATAGATTATTTCCAAAATTGCAATTTGATGATTTTATTGACAGAGTAGAGTCTTTGGGAAACAAAAAGGAAGTTCAGGTATGTATTGTTCCTGTCGGTTTGCCTTCATGCAGTGCTCAGCAGTGTGAGGAGTTGGCTTAGGAGAACAAGTGCACAGCAGAGGACTCAAGTTATACGTACTGCTGAGTTATACGTACTGCTAAGGTGTGTAATGTATTCCAGTAAATTGATTTCATCCTCTCATTCTAAAAAGCTACTTCAAGTATTTAAGAGTACATTTAAAAATTACTTTACTGCTTTATAGGATCTCCTTTAACAGAGCATCTTTACACAGAAGCAATCAGAATAGAAGTGCAGGAACTCACGATTGGACTTGGACTAGGAGGCTCATGAGAATGCTGTTTTGTGTGGTTAGATGACAGAAAACAATCTTGGTACTTAAGTTTTGGGTCGAACAGATGAATGAAAGAAATATTATTTCAGAATAATACAGCATAAAATTGGGAGCACTGTTAAAAACACATCAGTGTAAGACAAGATTTTTCTTTATAGATGACGCACCACTGTTGTAATTCTTCCTCACTTGCAGACCTGCCTAAAACGAATTAGACTTGATCTTCCTATTTTACATGAAGACTTCACAGCTAGTGAAGGTATGTTTGTTGTGCTGTCGGTTCACTGCTTAAAACTTTGTTTCCCTTCTTGCTAACCAGAAGTTAATGATGGTGGTACATTTTCCTGTTGTAGAAGATATTGCTGAGTGGTCCTCCTTTCAAACCAGGCTTATGTAGAACTTACTGCTGTAAAACCAAACTTGGAATAAAATGCTGCCTGCACAGAGGAAGGAAGTGGAAAGTGGGTGTTATGGAAGTGTTTATCAGTGGCATTGTTAGCAGTGTTCTTCCGGAGAAAATCCTGAAATCCACCATTCCTGCAGTTACCAAGTGAATGTACTCATAATTTGTACTTTATGAGCGTGCAGTCTGAAGAGTCTTGGATCTTAGTATTGCAGAAATGAAGAGTTGAGCATAGAGTTTATACTCTGGTTAGTGAGTAGTCAGTGAGTATAGTTAGTGAGGTTGGAGTGTTGAGTCCCTTACAAAAGGACTCAGTAATGCCTATGGGTACTGCTGTGTATGGACTGGTGTTGCTGTATGCCTGCTGTTGGTTTTTGTTCTTCTTTCCCATTTTTCAGAAATAAACAAGCTTTTTATTCCAATGAAAATGAGAGAGGGAGAGGAGCAGAGTTCACCCAGTAGCTTGGAAGGAACTTGTAGCAGAAATAAGAATTTCTGTAGTCTTTCCTAACGTCCATGGCAGGTGTTTATACTTTCCCTATTCCCCTGTGGGCAGTGCTTTTCGGTGGCTGATGACATGTGGCTGACTTTGCTGTTGGCTGCATTTGCTAGACATGGAATGCAGCTGTGAGCAGCCACAGACAGTGAAGTGAATGGTTCCTGCCGACAGTGTCTGTAGAGCGATCAGATCTTCTGTGCGATGGTTCCATACACCCGTGTTGCAGTGCTGGTATATTCTTGAGCCACGTTAGCAACTGTATGGCTGATAAGAAAATGGTACCCTGGGCTCCATCAGCAGAGGGGTGGCCAGCAGGGACAGGGAGGTGATTGTCCCCCTCTACTCTGCTCTTGTGAGGCTCTGTCTGCAGTACTGTGTCCAGGTCTGGAGCCCCTGGTACAAGAAAGACAGAGCTGTTGGAGAGGGTCCAGAGGAGCCACAAAGATGGTCAGGGGGCTGCAGCACCTCTCTACAAAGACAGGCTGAGGGAGCTGGGCTTGTTCAGCATGGAGAAGAGAAGCTGCGCGGTGACCTCATTGCAGCCTGCAGTACCTAAAGGGAGCCTGCAGACAGGAGGGGAGTCAGCTCTTTAAAAGGGGAGAGGACAGCAGGACGAGGGGAAATGGTTTGAAGTTGAGGGAGGGAAGATTTAGGTGGGATGTTGGGGGAAATTCTTTACAGAGAGAGTGGTGAGGTGCTGGAGCAGCTGCCCAGAGAGGCTGTGGATGCCCCATCCATCCCTGAAGGTGTTCAAGGCCAGGTTGGATGGGGTGTTGGGCAGCCTGGGCTGGTAAGAAATGTGGAGGCTGGCGGCCCTGCCTGTGGCAGGAGGGTTGGAGATTCATGATCCTTGAGGTCCCTTCCAACCCTGGCCATTCTATGTAAGTCACCAGCTGGAAAATGTGAGTGGCTGTCCTACAGCTTGGAAATAAAAGCTCAGAGTATTCTAATGAAGATCCAAACCTTTTGTCAGCTAACTTCTCTGTTCACAGGCTTAAAGTACTGCAGAGGCACAAACATAATGGGCCTTAGGTGCTCCTCCAGGAGTGCCATGCTGCTTTTGTTGGTGGGTGAAGTTTGTCTAATGGAATTAGGCTGCCTTTATTTTTGCGTGCATGAATTCTAGCAAATGAGTAAATCTCTGTAATAATGCACAGTGAATTTAAAACCATGTCTGTGTTCAATCTGTGATTCCTGTAACTAGTCCTTCTGCTTCCCGAAGCAGTGGTAAGAAAAGTGTCTGGCCTTTCAGTAAGAATTGCCTGACTTTACAGTCTGTTCAAGCTTCAGGCACAGCTTGCAAGTGTGAACTTTGTGCATTTGGCTTCTTCTGATTTGTTTTATACTTGGAATATCAAATATATGCGCCTTGAGAGAAGACTGCAAGTTAAAACAAAATTGCACAATGATCTTTGGCTCTCAACAATACAACTTCAAAATGTAGAACATAATCAGGAATTACTTAAAATGCTTCTCTGATAGATATTTGGTGGAAGGTCTGCGTTCAGTGGGATGCTTCCTGCTCTTCCTGACGCTCTCCCTCAATTCTTTTTTTATCCAGGTGCTGGAGGTGGAAGCAATGGGCTGGATATGGCCCCTGAAGATGTACATTCCTTCTCTGGGAGCGCAGGAGAACTGGATTCTCTCCTGGGTACAACTCTCACTGAAGAGCAACAGCAGCGAATGAAGAGGAACAGGCAGCTAGCCTTGGAGCGTAGGCAAGCGAAGATGCAGTGTAACAGCCAGTCCCAGCATGATGGTAAGCAGTTGTAGTGTGTGTGCAAGCTCAGTGGCCTGAGAGGTTCTGACAGCTGAGCTGCTGAGCAAAAGGTCCTTAGTACTTCTCTAGAGAGTAGAAGGCTCTAACTCCTGAACTTAAACTGCATTCCCGTAGGTAGATCCCTGTAAGAAGTCAGAGCTGCTCTCCCCAGCCGTGCCAAGTGGTCACAGCCCATCTCTGGTGAAATGAGACCGACTTGCTGGTCGTTCTGGAGTTGGCTTTCTTTGAAGACTGTGATTCAGGCAACAGACACTGCAGTCATCAGGCACGCAGCAACAGCATTTTCTCACTGAAAGCATTTTGTTTTTCCTTTATCAGAGCTCTCTCCCAGTTACCCAGAAGAGGAGCTTAACATCCCAGTTGCTCAGGATCTGACTGGTGCTTTAGAAGACACACAAGTTACTGCGGCCAGTGTTGCTGTTACAGGAACTGAAGACAGAGAGAGAGAATTGCAGTGTGCCAGAGAAAAGCAATGACATTCCTCATGCTTTGAATGACTTTATTAATAGGACCCCAACTCTAGGGGGGTCTTTAATAGGACCCCAGCTATTACTGTTGGTATTGAAACATTGCTGGCTCTTTCCAGTCTGACTCCAGGAGTTTCAGGAAAGCCTTAACTATTACATCTGTATAGCTGGTCAAAACTGTTTTCTTGAAACTGCAGTGAATTGTTCCCTGCATTGGAAAGCAGAACCCTGTTCTTCATCTGCATACGAGACTTTTTTGTACCTTTACTGACGTTGTTTAGGAAATGGGTTTTCTGGCCAACGCTGACATCTTTCAGTTGATGTCAAACTGAATTTAACTGAGATGTTAACTGGTGTGTGCACGTCTTTAGTGGAAGATATATAATAGAGACTAGTGCTATACTTGAACAGGAATCTGGGATATTTTTTAACTTATCAAGTACCTGTATTTGTTTCTTATGAAATGGAAGTAATTAAATTTCAGCAGTCAAACAAATTTTTGTATGAGGCTGTTTAAACTCAACTTCCCAATTTGTGCAAGTCACTGCCAAGTACATCATGTTTGGGCTTTGACCGAATTAAATTTGACTGAGATAAAGTCTCACTTTATCTGATCCTGTTTTCTGGCTTGAAGCTCTGTACTGTTACAGAACTGTTTTCTTCCCCTCTTCTGCAATAGCTGCAGCAATTCAGTGTGATCTTCTGCTCTGTGGAATGAATCTGGTGTCGAGGATGACAGCTGTGCTGGAGCCCTGAGGATGCCTGATCCAGTAGCACAGAGCAGACTCGCTCAACCTAAGCTGAGGCCCAATGCAGCACATAAAGCAGGGGACACAAGTCGATGTCAGCAGGTGTTACACAGTGCCTGCTGTGCAGCTGGGAAATTGTGCTTAAGGGAGGGTCTGGATTAGTGTGACTGAATTAATTTAGTTTAATTAGTTTAGTTTAACTTAAATTTAAATGAATGTAGGTATGAGTTAAAACTCAGTATAGTGGAAAAGAACCACCAGTTGCAGTGAGTAGGATGGATGGTAAAGTAATACTTCAGGTTTAAGAAACTAATGTATGGAGAACGGGGTAAGCAAGCTTTTTTTTCACTCAATGACAACCAAAAGGATTCACTACACAGGCTTTAGTCTGGAAGGTAAGATTTATCATGTGTAAAATCTTTGTTGCATGTACTCATAATCAGATACAAAGAATTCTTATTTAAAATACACAATTTATCTCATTAAAATGACTTCATTTTTAAAATATACTTTAAAAAACTGTACAAAGTAACTGTAAGCAGAGCATCAACAACTACACGCGTCAGCTGAGACATCCAACAGAGCCCAGTCCCTGATCTCCTCCAGCAGCTGGTATAAGCTAGCTCCCTTTGTCTGGCAGTACTCTTGGTACTCCAGGCACTGTTCCTCAATTCCTGCACTTGCTTTTTCCTGGGCACGCAGTGCTGCTGCAGACTGACTGACTGCTCTGACTAAGTCAGATTTCACCACACCAGAATTCTTCTTGGAAACTTCTGTGGCTGAACTCTGGCATGGGCTGTTCTTGATTATTTCAAGTTTGATTGTGTCCGCGTGGCAGCGGGAGGTCTGCACAAGTATTTTCACCTTAAAAGCAATTTAAAAATCACTTAATTTGAAGAAAGCAAAAGGAAATAGCATGGTCAGAAATAAGTACTCACTGTAATGTGATCAAAGAGGCTTAACGTAACCGATTCTCCATTGGTTGTAGTGGAAGTAATTCTATTCTGAAACCGTTGGAGTGACCCAGGCTTCCATTCACAGCTTCTCTCACCTTGACAGGAGAGGACTAAGCCTTCCTTGTTTTTCATGTAAGCAGCACCTTTGATTCCATATCTACAAAAAAAAAAAAAAGCAGAAGTGCAGGAATGAGGGTAGAAATTCTTCAAAAACCTTCTCAGTTACCTTGCTGGTTTGAGAACCAAAGGAAGCCCAGCTAGGGTTATATGAAAGCAAAATTAAAAGGGCAAACGCTGCAGCCTGATAATCCTGCTTCAGTGATGTTTCTGACAGTGCTCATAAACAACCTCACAGTATGTAAGAACAGGATGAGACAGCAACTGAGCTTTTTCAAAAGCAGCAAAGCAGAAATGAAGGTCAGTAACCCGTTATCTTATGTGTTGGATGGAGCCCGGAATGCCCAGCTCATGGAAGAAGGGCAGTGTTGCACAAATGTTCAAAAGAGGTTCTCAGCCTGCTACATCACATCCTGGAGTGAAAGGAAGGAGTGCTGATGAATGCACGGTCTTTTTACTTGAAAATTTAAAACTAAACTACTTTTTCTCCACTCATTGTTCTGTCTCTGCAACCAAAAGCCTTTTAATGTTCTGAAATAAATAGACTATGTAGGATAGCCTTACCCTTTCTCCATAGCAGCTCCTTTCCAGAATTAAAACAGAAAAATCACTTATTATAATCTACAGAAAATCTAAAATGCAGTCATCAGTCAATGCTTCCTTTCTCAAGGACCAGAGGTGTCCTCACAGCATTCCAGAAGCAACTGATTTTAGTTTCAGCCCAAGCTCCACTCAGCTTACCTTGGCACAAAAACAAGCACCCCATTTGTTCGAATTGAGTAGATAACTCCATCTGCTATGCAGCGCTCATCTGTTTCTGGGCTTTTGTCTTTGAAGTACATGCATTGGAAGAGTTCTGTAGACTGTTTCTGAGCATGCTGGGCTGCCTGCAGGTGCCCCCCACAAAAAGAGAAGACAAAAGGACAGGTAAATATTCTAAAAAGCCTGTATGGCTGTGATCTTTATATATTTTTCCATTACTTTTTCCCCAACCCCCTGAAAAAAAATCTTATCTAAGAGGAGCGCTGCAATGTCGTCGTACCCAGAAGTCTCAGTAGAGTGGTATCCTTTCTCCCTGGGTAGCGTGCAAACACAGACACACACAGTGACCACCTTACCCTGTTTCTGTTATTAATGTGTTTGCACAATTCCTCAAGATCCTTGTTACTGAACAATTTATCCTTCACATCCTTAGTTTCCTTCAGAGTTGCTGCCATCAAGAGTCTGTGGACAACTATATCAGCGTATCTTCTAATAGGAGAAGTAAAGTGAGTGTACTTATCTAAAGCAAGGCCTACAAATAAAAAAGGAAGCAATAATAAGCAATCAAAGCAATCAACTCCTCCTGGCAGTTCAGGAATAACAGGAATTTCATAACGAGTGACAGGATACCATAATGATGAAACTCTTCCTCAGAACAAGAGCCGGTTGAGAAGTACAATGCATTTGACATTGCTTGAGTGGCCATAGATCGCAACAGCCTATTTACAATTGGATCCAGTGGATCATCTGCTTTATCCAGGGACTCAGCCAATGCTTTGTTAGACCTGTTAAAAAAGTGTTAATTCTGAATAAAATTATGTTTCTCTGATCATAGTAATAGGCTACAGCTAAACTCTGGCATTTTGGAGAACCAGAATCTAGAGTAAAACCCTCTTTTGTCTGGTACAGGGCGGATGCTGAGCTGGGTAGAAGTGTGTTCTGTACAGGAGAGCACAAATGCTGGAAAGGTGGCTTCCAACCAAAAGGCTCTGCTGACACACCTCATGTACTGATATCTCTGTACCATGAGGCTTACAGTCTTCTCATAGAACAGAGTCATTATAAATTATTCTGTATCTTTTAAAATTACACTGCACAGAATTAGCTTGGTTTAAACCCAGACTTTTATGCTACTATTACAGGAAATACAGTGCAAACAATGCTATCATAGACCTTAACTGCTACTCAGGGACTGACCAAATTCTCCTTAGGTGTGTCTAAAAATGATTCAACTACTGCTATTTTCAGTCCAGCCAGTAGAAGGAAACACAGCCATCGCCTCTTTTGAGTGTCATTTTACATAAAGGTTATGGTTAAAGAAATAAATTAAGAAATGCTAGTGTAGTCTCTATTAACATTGATATTCAGAACAGTAATGGTTTGTAGTAATAACATAGTCAAGCAGTTAATTGCTCAACTGATTAAAGTGCTTAAGCAGTAAAAGTACCGTGTGTCTATTGAGAAACCCTTGGCACTGGCACATTCTTGAAGGTCAGTAAAAAATTCCTGTCGTGGTGGAGGATGTTGGCGTAACAAAGCTTGATGAGGAAAGCTTTCTGAAATCTTTTTTGCCACCCAGTGGTTTGCAAGGATCATACATTCTGCTACAGTCTCATGCACTTCCAGTGGCTGCTTGGGGATGAGATCGTGAATGTTTTGTTTATCATCCAGTTGCACTCGGATTTCTACCCCTTCTAGTTCCAGAGCACCGCAGCTGTCCCGCTTAGCTCTCATGTGCCGTGCTATATCAGTGAGTTTGGATATTGCCCAAACCAGTTCAGACAATTTCTTCTCTCTTGTTCTTTCATCCAAGTCCTTGAGTTCCAGGATATCATCAGCAACACTCATGTCCCCATCTAACAACCCCTGTGCTACTTCATAGGCCAGCTTGTATGCAGATCGAATGATGCTTTTGTTGTAGCAGACGCTCAGTATCTCGAATGACTCCCTTTCTAGTTCCCACAGGACACTTACAGCATACCTTAAAAACAAAAATCACAGTTCTTTAAACAGTTCTGGTTGACTTAACATTTAACATACAGATTTCATCCTGTGCTGATTTTCTTTGCCCATCTGTTTTAAAGCACCATTACGCTGCAGTAGTTAATTTCAGCTTTCTATGACTCTCCACTACTTGGATGACAAATAGTAACAAATAATTCCGAGCCCATGCATACACAGTTACTCTGTAACAAGTGATGAAACATTTTTTATTTCTGTGCATCCACAAAGCACGCACAGTCCAACTGTGGAACAAAATTCATAACTTTTTTTTAGAGAAATCAATTAATTGTATGGTGACAGAACTGGTAGGGGCAGCTCAAAAGCAGCACTGACAATCAAAGAGTGGGGGCAGAGCTGCAGAAGAACAACCATCCCCTTTGTTCCCAGCAGCAGTGCTGAGTTAAGCCCTATAAAACTGAGCAAGGAACGACAGCTGGATACCTCACATTTCCTGTTGACTCTCACTGAGAAAGTCATCACCATGAATAAGCACTCACCATAACTCTGCTGTCTGAAGATCTCAACAGGGCTAACAGGCAGGAAACTTTGTATCAGATTTATTCTGTTAGTAGTTCATTTCATCAAAAAAATCAGCTGCATTGCCACAATCAAACAAATGGCATTTTGGCAAGCTAAAGGATTACGAAGCGTGCACCTCATCTAAATAACGTAGCATTAGAAGCTATTTTTAAGCATGCATTATTCTTTCAGTTGAAGATTTGTAATGCAAAGCATGCGTATAATTAGTGAACAGACAATGGTAGCAATAACTAAATTGCAAGAATTTCTATCCTCAGACATGTTGGCAAATCTTACCTATCAACTCCACTGAGAAGAGAGCATATGTCAGCACTCAGCACTGAGGGCAGCATGTCGTAACGACGGTCTGCCAAATAGTAAGTTGTGGCCCTGAAGAATAAAACACAGGTCCTGTTCTTCTGTTTGTCCCCCAGGCAGTTCGCAGTGCATCCACAGTACCAGCAACACAAGGCACGCAGCATGGTTTGTTACTAAGGGTATTTGCAC